AATACCTGGTGGCACAGGGCCAAGCACAGCCTCAGTGCCTGTGTCTAGGGCCCGCCCCCTCTGGGACCCTGGAAAGACCTGCAGTGAAGCCTGAGCGTGTCCTGTAAAGGGACCAGAGGGGCCTCGGGCTGGTCCCAGCGTCAGGACAGTGGAAGTTAATGTGCAGTCAGGGAGGGCCCTCTGCTACCTTCCCCACAGACTTGTATTAAATGCTTCCTGACACTAATGATTAAGATTTATGTGGCCTTTTCCATTCAGCTAAACCCTCCCACAGCCCTGAGCTCATCCCACTTCACAACCACCCTGCGGGATAGATCTAGTCACCCCTGTTTGAGAGAAGCTGAAAGCACTTTCCTGGGGTCCCAGTGAAACTCGGATGGGAATCTCGTGCCTGACTTAGCCTGTGCTTTCCCCTGCAGCCCCCAGCCCATCACAGACTAAGGCATGTTCTCTTTGGAGACCACCCAGGGGCCTAGAACTATACCTGGAGAGAAGGGGTAGCCTTGAGTATGGGCAAGTCGCATGGCTCCCAGGAGTGCTGGGCACCCCTTTTCTGGAGGAGAGGATGACGCCTCATCTGTCTGGATCAAGAGCAGCCCTTTGTAGGACCAGAGGGATTGTCATATAGACCTGTAAAGGGCACACATGTCAGAAGAGCACAAGGACATGTTGGGTGAGCGAATGAATTGGCTTTTATTAAGCTCTGACCATAGGCCACACACGTGGAAGGCCTTTGCCTGAATGTTCTCTTATTAAACGTCCCTCACAGCAGCCCCGTGAGGTAGGCACCAGTATGTCCGTTTTACAGAAAAGGAAGCTGAGGTGCCAAGCACCTCAAGCCCAAACAGCTGGTGTAAGTGATTGGAGTGGAGGAATAGGGATTTGATCCCAGACTATCTGACTTCTCTCCGTGAGCTGCCCCGTCCTTTCGGCTCAGCTTCCCCGACGACTCAGGCTGCCCCTCATCAGCACACTCACTGATGGGCGTCCACTGAGGCAGGCAGGGCTGCTGCCGCCTTCCCATTGCAGCCCTGCTGTGCCAGTGCAGTCCGGCCAGCTCCTCACAGAATGGTTTTCTTCACCTGGTCCCGTGGGCCGTCTGGTAAGAGCGGAGGATACGTGTCTGGGCCCAGAAAGATGAGATCACCCGAGAGAAGGTCATCCTGCTTTCTGGCATAGCCCGGGGGATGCTCCAGGTACTGGCCTCCGGCTTTCCTGGCTGGTAGGCACTCACGGCACCGCTTGGTCACTAGGTAGGCGAGCTCCACCAGGTTGAGTAGGATGCAGATGACGGCGGTGACCACCATAAACAGGGTGAAGATGTTCTTCTCGGTTGGCTTGGAAATAAAGCAGTCCACCACATTGGGGCATGGAGCCTCGTGGCACTTGACCACAGGAGGAAGGGTGTATTTGGGGTAGAAGGAATGGAACAAGTAAAGGAAGGCAACATCCACGCCGGCCTTGAACACCAAGCTGCAGACGTAGGTCCACCAGAGCCCACCCCTCTTCTTGCCGGGGTCTGGGTAGAGGCGCCCACCCCCCTCCCCCGCTGCCTCTCGGTGCTTCTTCTCCCGAGCCTCGCGGTAGGCCACGTGCATCACCACCAGCAGGGAGGGGCAGGTGACCAGGATGAGCTGCAGGGCCCACAGGCGCACGTGGGACACGGGGAAGAACTCGTCGAAGCAGACGTTGGAGCAGCCGGGCTGGCGGGTGTTACAGTCAAAATCCTTGTGGTCATCGCTCCACACACGCTCGGCTGTTACCAGGTACACCAGCACGCGGAAGATGAAGACGAGAGACAGCCAGATACGTCCGAAGGCTGTGGAGTATTTGTTCACCCCACTCAGGAGACCCTCGAAGACCCCCCAGTTCATGGTGGGCCCACGCGCCGGCCACCGCTGTAGGGAAATGACAAGCACAGTTGGTCACGGAGGGAGAATGCTCACCTGGAGAACTTTCTAGGCAGGTGTCATCATATTTGACCATTCCAACCACCTAAGAGCTAGGTTCTATACATTCCCCATTCTGCAGACGAGGACACTGAGGTCCAGATGGGTGATACAAAGGTCATCCTCCTGGGAGGTGCTGAGTTATTATCGGAGTACAGCTCATAGAGCTAGAACCCAGGGCAGGCAGGCGAAACAAGGAACCACACGGTGACAACCTGTAGGGGCGGGCTCTCTGCCTTTTCCCTCGGCCTAAGGCTTGGCTTCTTCCTCAGGAGGCCAAGTCTTGGGAAAATGTCTGCCCTCCTCTCCGAGCACTGCTCTCTGCCCTTGCCCCATCCCATTGAAAGCTCCAGTCCAAACCAAGGTCAGCTCCGGCAGTGCAATGGCTAAGCAGCTGCTGCCCCTGTGAAGATGTGGCAGTCTGGGTCCATAAAGGCCACGACCTTGGACATCTCCCCCCCACCCCCATCCCCGCAAGGCCCAAGGGTGAGCTGACATGGACTCCACAGTGAGAGGTGGTCTTATTTTGGGCCTGCTGGGGCAGGTCACTGGAAACCAGGTCAATGGCGACCAGCTGAAGGGTGGAATGCAGAGCTATGGCTCTTGTCATACAGTACACTCCCCAGGGGAGGCAGGTCTTCCAGTGGTTCCCAAACTGGTGTTCCGTGGCACCCTGCTGCTAGATCATGTGCTCAGAGGAAGAGGAGGGAGCATTCTGTGTTCAGGAGCAAACGCTGGGCTTAGCAGAGTGACCCTGGTCCCTTTAGTGGGCTCTGCTAACAAATCCACACAGAAAGTCTCCCGAAACAGTCCCAGGATAGGTGGCACTGCCCACACTGCTTTGATCACAGTGCCCTTCCTCTTCCTGTGGGACCACCTCCGCCTGGCAAGGGGCGCCTGGCGAGGGGCGGCACGGGAAGTGGCACGCTGGGTGCACGGGCTCAGCTTCCCACCTCTTGTCACGGAAAGGGACTGCTGTGCAGAGTACGCGGGGCCAACCTTCTCCTCTGGGTTCCTCTGCACCCTGCCCTGCACCCAGTGCTGGCCCGAGCCCATGTCATCTACCATGGAGGAGCAGGCTCATAATAATAGACCCAAGAGCCTTTGTGGCATAGTGGGCTATGCATTGGGCTGCTAACCACAGGGTCAGCAGTTCAAAACCATCGGAGAAAGATGAGGCTTTCAGCCTCCGAAGCCCACAGGGGCCGTTCTACTGTATCCTACAGGGTCCCTATGAATCGGAATCGTCTCAACGGCAGTGGGTTTGGTTTTGGGTTTAGACCGTATCAGGCACTGCTGTAAGCATTTTGCATGAACGAATGCACTGCTCCCTGGTAGCAATCTTATGAAGGAATCTGATATTTTTTGCTTCCCAATTTGCAGGTGAGGAAAACAGAGGACAGAGAAGGGAAGCGGAATTGCTTGCAGTCACACACAGCTCATTCAAGGCCAGGCCAGGGTTTTAATGCTGGCCCACGGTTCCAGAGCCCACGGCCGGGGTCTGAGCCCCCTTCCTTGGAGCTGTCTGTCCAGTCTGGGGTCCCAGCCTACTCTGCCTGGCTGATCCCCGGGTGTGTGAGGGAGGCTGGCGATGTCTCTGCCTTCCACCCTGTGTCTCTCCGGCAGTCTCATTGCCTCTGCGTCTACACCACCTACACTTGGATGTGGGGCCACTGCTGTGAGTCATCAGCTTGACTGCTCAGTCCTGCCTTGGGTGGGGAAAGGCTGGCAGCTTCTCAGGAACGCCCAGAGAGGCCCTGTCCACAGCCCTTGCCCCCGCAACCCTGGGGCTCTAGGCCCCACCCAAGTGGGGCGGGGCAGAAAGGGGCAGTGCTAGTCTCACCAAGCTGTCCTCCCCGCTCAGCTCCTGGCCCCCTCCTGCGCCCCTCTCCTACTCACTAGTCCTGGTTCTGGGCTGGGAGTGCAGGAAGAACCCAGGACCCAGAGAGGGGAGCCGGACATTCCTCTGCCATTCAGACCCTGGGTGGCATATGTGCCAGTCCCCTCCTCCTCCCGCCCCACCAGAGAAGACTGCCCTGTGGGACGCTGAGGGCAGGGCCCATCTGTATCCAGATGCCCTTACCTGAGCAGAAACTCCTCAGGGCTTTCTGGGCGAGGACCCCTGACGTTGTGGTGAGACTCAGCAGGCAGCCGGCATTCATGTCAGACCAGGGAGGGTTTCTCAGGAGGCCTGCCTCTGGGAGGGAGCCTGCCCAGCGCCCAGCAGCCTGGGTGTGCCCGCCTGGCCCAGGAGGAGGAGCTGTGGGCAGACTGCCTATGAGGAGGGCCTGGGAAATTAGGAGTTGACTCCAACCAGGGAACTGGGCTCAGAATTCTAGTAACCCTGGGGTGGGTGAGGGGGAGGCACAGGTCTACTCTGACCTCTTCTCCTCTTCCCATCCGGGCTTGTGAGAGGTGAAGGCGAGGCCGTGCCTGCCCACATAGCCCACTCTGGAAATTCTCTGCTGCTTCCTCCAGAGACGCTGTACGGATTCCATGGGCTGTTCTCCAGCTCCCTCGGTGGCCGCCCGTTCTCATGGCTTCTGTGACAATTGCAAGCTCCCTGATCCCAAACTCTCCCCAGTCCAGACACTTTCCTGGATGCCTGTCCCCAACCTTCCTTCCCCATTACAACTGCAATCTGCCTGAGGGGCCCCGTAACCCCACCTCTGAAGACCCCGGCCCTCACTTCTGGAGCCTCATCCCCCTCCATCTGGGCCCCATGCCCCGACAACCACAGCCTCACACTCCTACATCTGGAGGCCCTTCTCCACCCCTCCATCCGTAGCCCCACACGCTTATATCAGGAGCCCTGTCCTCTCTATATCTGGAGCCTCCTACCCCTATCTCCGGAACCTCACACCTTGGGACTACTTGCTTTAAATGACTTAGGGTCCATCTTCGGGCTTCCATGAGGGGCCTTGGTGGCATAGGGGGTTATCCATTGGGCTGCGAACTAGAAGGTCAGAAGTTTAAACCCACCAACTGCTCCCCAGGAGAAAGATGAGGCTTTCTGCTTCCACAAAGACATCCAGGCCCAGGGGCAGTGGATGCCGTTCTGCAGGGTGACTGTGAGGTGGAATTGACACTGTGGCATGGGTTTTTCTGAGTCTGGGCTTCCGAGAGCTGCCTCCTGGCTGTGACCCATCAAACTGCACCAGCAGAGTGAACTTCATCCAGCTTCTTCCAGGGATGCTGGTGCATTGAATGACCATATGGGCTCACCCAAATGGATAGTCCTAGGGACTAGGATGAACAGGACAGCCTTTGAGCCCCAGGACCCCCCAGACTTGGCCTTGAATGCCAGCTGACATGACTGTTTTGCTAGAAAGTCTCTGTTGCACCTCACGACCTTCAGAAGCCACCAAACAGAACCCCGTCTTTTTTGCTACTGAAACCTAGTTCACTCTTTGCACCCTAACAACACATGTGAGCTGCTACACAGGACTCACACTCCCTTCTGCACACACAGCCCCAGCTCCTCCCAGTCCACTCCCCGAGTTCCCTCCCCAACTCCAGACAGCTGGCCACCCTTTCCCCAACAGAGGCACTGCTCCCTACCCCAACTGCACACACACACTGGCCTTTCCACCCAAGACTTGTTTTCAATGCATGAGGTCCCTACTATGTGCTGGGTGCTGTGCCAACAAGGTGAAAGAGATCAGAGAATTGGGCAGCCTCCTGGCTTGGGAAGGACAGGCGCACTGCTGTAAGAGTGGTCTTGCCAGTGAGCATCAAGGAGAAGGGCTTGGACCGGTTGAGTCCTGTCTAGAGCAGGTGCCTCACAGTCTGATGGAGGGGGGCAGACGTGGAGTTAGGCAGTGGAGCCCTACATCAGCGCCCACACACTGCACCTGAAGTCCGACATCTCTTCATCTGGAATCTGACCTTCTGCACCCCAGACAGCAATATCTGGAACCTGAGGCCCCAACTCGGAACTGCCTTGCAGATGGAGCCCTGCACCCCGATACCTGGAGCCTGACACCTGTCTCGCTGGATTCCCACACACTGGCATCCGGAAGCTGTAGTCCTGGATTTGACTCTCACGTCTGCTGCATTTTGGTCTTGGGCAGTCTACCCAAACCCGTGTGAGATGATGTCTGTATGGAGCCTCGGGGGTTGTGAGGGCACCCTGGGCTCCAGGCAGCGCAGGATGGAGGCGCAGGCTGAGTGCCCGAGTCCCTGCTTCCTCACTGTGGTGCCTCTGTGCCATATTCATCAAGCGGAGAAAATAACAGCGCCCACTTGGTAGGGCTGCTGGGCTGACAGGCTGAGCTCACAAAGGTCAGTGCCTAGAACAGTGGCGGTGGCACAAAGGAAGCCCTTTAGGGGACCACCTGGAATGTGGGTGAGGTGCCTGGCACAGGCCTGGCATGTGGTGGGGGCTCTGTGCCACTTCTCTCCATTTTCCTTATTCTTACACACTCTCCTTGCGACGTGGAGGAGGAAGAAAGGGAGGGGCAGACAGACACACTCACCAGGGAAAATCTCATTTGGATGCATGTTGTCTTTGGGTTAAAAAGGCGAAACCCCAGCCAGCCAGAGACTGCGTGGGGAGGCGGGCGAGGGCAGGCGGGGGGCGCCCGGGGAGGGTTTCTCATTAGCGCTCAGACACAGCCTGTTGGCCTAATTAACTTCCAAGATGCCCTTTATCAGCAGATCACACAGGGCTGAGATTCATCGGACAGTGGGCCTTCCACAAGCAGGCACGACCCAGTTCCCCATGTACATAGTGCTACGTACAGACATTCTTACACAGATACTTGTACCGTTACACACACAAGACATTGTGTTTTGTACTCACCACTGGACTCCTGATGCTCAGAATAGTGCCTGGCACCTAGTTGTTGCTATTAACTCTGGCCCAGTGCACGACAACCCCACTGACTGACAACAGAACAAAGCCCTGCCTGGTCCTCTGCCATCCCATA